ATAATTGAAAAAAAAATTAAAAACCTATCACTGTAGTCATGAAATTAATTTTTTTGAAACTATTTTTAAAAATCAGTGATTTAATATTTTGGGAAAACTTTGGAGAATATGAATAAGGAGTAGGTAAAGGGTTTGTTTATTGGGGGGTATCAGAGGACATACAGAAATTATTATTACTGTTGTCAAATGTGATATTGCTATTGTGGTTACTAAGGAAAATGTTCCTACATTTTAGAGAAGCATCCTGCAGTATGTAGGGGTGAAACATCATTTCTCTATCTGAAATACTTCAGAAAACAAAAAACGAAACCTTATGGCAAAATGTGAACAACTGTTAAATCTAGATGATAGCTAGAAACAGGGTTTCATTATAGTCTTTCTATATATTTAAACTTTTTCATAATACAAAAAAAAACCTTTTATGTCTTAAATTTTTCATAATAATTTTTTTTAAGTTAGTGTTTTAAACTCTTTTCTGATAGTAGGTGCTGTCAATGCATAGCTACCCTATATATAAGAGAACGAAACACTGTCCAGTCCTGCACCATTTACACAATCGTTGCTGTTCTTGAGCCCATCATTGCAGCCATTAAGTCAATACATCTCATTGAGGGTCTTCCCCTTTTTCCCCAACCCTCCACTTCATCCAGTGTTATCATTCTCCAGGGACTGGTTTCTTCTGAAGACATGACCAAAGTATGAGAGGTGAAGTCTGGCCATTCTCGCATTTAAAGAACATCCTGGCTGTACTTCTTCCAAGATAGGTTTGTTTGTTCTTCTAGCAATCCATGGTACTTTCAATATTCTTTGCCAGCACCACAATTCAAAAGTATCAATTCTTCCATGTTCTTCCTTATCACTGTCCAGCTCTCAAATGCATATGAAGCTACTGAAATTATCATGGCTTCAGTTAGGCACACCTTAGTCTTCAGAGTGACATCTTTGCTCTTAAACACTTTAAAGAGATCTTTTGCAGCAGATTTGGCCACTGCAATATATTGTTTGATTTCTTGACTGCTGCTTCTATGGATGTTGTTTGTGGATCCAAGTAAAATATACGACAACTTCAATCTTTTTTCCATTTATCAAGATGTTGCTTATTGGTCCAGTTGTAAGGAATTTTGTTTTCTTTATGTTGAGGTGTAATCCATACTGAAGGCTGTACTCTTTGGTCTTCATCAGTAAGTGCTTCAAGTATTCTTCACTTTCAGCAAGCAAGGTTATGTCATCTGCATATCACAGGTTGTTAATGAGTCTTCTTCCAATCCTGATGTCGCATTCTTCTTCAGCTTCTCATATTATTTGCTCAGCATACAGTTTGAATAAGTATGGTGAAAAGATACAACCTGACACACACCCTTCCTGATTCTAAACCACGCAGTATCCCCTTGTTTGGTTCAAACAACTCCCTCTTGGTCTATATAAAGGTTCCTCATGAATACAGTTAAGTGTTCTGGAATTCCTATTCTTTGCAATGTTATCCAAAATTTGTTATGATCCACACAAATGCCTTTGCAGTCAATAAAACACAAGTAAACATCTTTCTGATATTCTTTGCTATAAGCCAAGATCCATCTGACATCAGCAATATCCCTCATTCCATGTTCTCCTCTGAATCTGGCTTGAATTTCTCTCAGTTCCCTGTCAATGTACTGCTGCAATCATTTTTTAATTATCTTCAGCAAAATTTTACTTGCATGTAATATTCATGGTATTGTTTGATAAATTCCACATTCTGTTGAGTCACCTTTCTTTAAATGGACACAAATATAAATCTCTTCCAGTTGGTTGGCCAGGTAGCCACCTTCCAAATTTCTTGGTATAAACAAGTGAGTGCCTCTAGCACTGCATCTGTTTGTTGAAACATCTCAATGAGTATTCCATCAATTTCTGGAACCTTGTTTTTTGCCAATTCCTTCAGTGCAGCTTGGACTTCTTCATTCAATACCATTGGTTCTTGACCATATGTTATCTCATGAAATGGATGAACATCAATCAATTTTGGTACAGTGAGTACAGATTCCTTCCATCTTTTGATGCTTCCTGTATCATTCAATATTTTGTCCACAGAATCCTTCAATACTGCAACTCCAGTCTTGAATTTTCTCCTTAGTTTTTTAAACTTGAGAAATACCGAGCATGTTCTTTCCCTTTGATTTTTCTATTTCCAGGTCCTTGCACATTTCATTGTAATAATTGACTTTGTCCTCTCAAGCTTCCCTTTGAAATCTTCTGCTCAGATCTTTTACTTCATCATTTCTTCCATTTACTTTAGCTGCTCTCCATTTAAAAGCAAGTTTCAGAGTCTCTTCTGACATCCATTTTGGTCTTTTTTTCCTTTCCTGTCTTTTTAACGACCTTTTCCTTTCTTTGCATATGATGCTCTTGATGTCATCCCACAATTCATCAGGTCTTCGGTCACTGGTGTTTGATGTATCAAATCTATTCTTCAAAATGGTCTCTAAATTTAGATGGGATATACTCAAGGTCATATCTTGGCTTTCATGAACTATTTTTTAGTTCTTCTAAAAACCTGTATCTTTGAGTTGGTTTTATAAGAAAACTAATTAAAATGCTGCCTCCTGGTAATTATGTAAATGGTAATTTATGTACTTATTTAGCATTGATTTCAATACCTACTGTCCATAAATATCTATTAAAATAATCATACAGGCAGAGCCTGAGTTGCAAATGTCCAACTTAAGTACAACCTGTAGTCAGGAACCAATCACCCATAAAGCCTTGTTGTTGTTATTGTTGTCAGGTGCCACTGAGTCACCTCCAACTCATAGCTACCCTATGCACAACAGAACGAAACACTGCCCAGTCCTGTACCAACCTCACTATCCTTGTCATATCTGAGCCCATTGTTGCAGCCACTGTGTCAATCCATCTCATTGAGGGCCTTCCCCCTTTTCGTTGACCCTCCACTTTACCAAGCATGATATCCTTTTCCAGGGAATGGTCCCTTCTGACCACATGACCAAAGTAGATAAGATGAAGCCTGGCCATTCTCACTTCCAAGGAGCATTCCAACTGCACTTTTTCCAGGACAGACTTGTTAGTTCTTTTAGCAGTCCATGGCACTCTCAGTATTCTTCACCAACACCATAACTGAAAAGCCATCAACTCTTCGGTATTCCTTATTCATTGTTCAGCTCTCACATGCATATGAGGCAACTGAAAATACCATGGCTTGGGTTAGCCACACCTTAGTCTTCAAGGAGACATCTTTACTTTTCAGCACTTGAAAGAGGTCTTTTGCAGCAGATATGCCCAATGCATAAAGTCTATTATTCAAAAGTCGAGGACAATGATTCATAATAACAAACAGCTGTCGTGACATGGACCAAAACACTAGCGTTACTGTATTATTATATTAAAGATGCTTTCTTGTATCTAGGAAATGTTTCTTTAGTGTTCTTTTAAACATAGAAAGCTACACTATATACTATATACAGTACTAAGACAAATATTTGACTAACTGACCTTAGATATAAACCATATCAAACTGTTCTGACTTATGTACAAATTCAACTTAAAGACAGATTTAGGAATGGAGCTCATTCATAATCCAGGGACTGCCTATATATAAAACCACTATAATCAAATCAGGATAGTATTGGTAAAGATAATGAGATCAGTGTTATAGTACAGAGAATCCAGTACCAGATCCCTTTTTTGTTATATATATAAGTTATATATATAAGTTGATATGTAACAAATGTAATAGATAAAGTTCAGAGGAGATAGGATTACTTTTTAATAATGTTTCTAGCATAACTATTTAATGCTAAGAAAATAAAAGTGGATCATATACAAAAATTGAATGAAAAACTTAAATGTAAACCTAAAATTAAAAATATTGCAAAACCTAAATGATTATATGTATAGTAATTTCTGTAATATAAAAACTGTTATAAACTGATAACCCCACAGGAAAATGAGCAATAAATAATTCATAAAAGACCAATTTCAAATGGCCAAAAAACACAAAAATATGCTCAAGGTCAAATAGTAAAAGAACTACAAATTAATAAAAGTGAAATACCACTTCATACTCATCAGATTAGTGAGGATGTGAGGAAAAGGACAGTCTCATATGTTGCTGGTGCACAAGTGATGATGCATTATGAAGTAAAAACTCTTTGAAAGGCAATCTGACAACTCTATTAAAGTAGAAACATGTATACTCTTCAAATTTGCACTTCCACTTCTGGGAACCAATCCAACAGAAATGAAAGTACTAACACAAATGGACACACAAAAGGATATTATTGCAGCACTATATGGAATGGGTAAGACTGAAAACAAAGTCAATATCCAACAACAAGGGAATGGCTAAATAAACAGCATGCTCTTAGCATGGAGACCAGATGATCCCATGTTTGTAAGACAATGACAAATCACCCCTACACAACTATAAATATATGTATACAAAGATCTGTGTAAGATTATACAAGTATGGTGAAAAATATAGAAAGATCCACATTAAACTGCTGGTCAAAGTGGCAGCAGAGTTAGGACCAAGTCCAACGGGGATAGAAAGTGTTCATAATAAAAACAAGTATATGATCTCTTTATGTAATACTACATGCTTATATAAGCACGCATAAAAAGATACATTAAAAATAAAGAAAAATAATATTTTTTTAATAAGTAGAAAAGTAGCTGCCTTTCAGAAGAAATGTTTTCACAACTAAATAATAAGAAATACGTATTATTCTAAATATAAACTGTCAGAATGAAGGCAATGATTCATTTTTTCACACTATGTTCATGACAAAATTACGATAGATCCTGCTTTGTGTGCCCATCTGGTTGGGAGCCTAACACCCAACCAATCTGGAAAGGTATACCAACTTGCCTGTAATGTAACATGCTCAGTTCAGTGACGTTCAATTAGAGCATCATCTTCCTCATCAATAAATCGTTCTTGCAATACCTACTGGATGCATGACCTTTTATGTACAGTGGTAGCTCTTTAAAGGAGAAGTTACCTGATAAATGATGTGCACATAAGGGGGATCCTGAGAGAGTGGATATCCTAGAGAGGATTTCTTCCCATTATGGAGCCAGTTTGTGAGTTCAGAAATACATTGCTGCATTTCAGTCAGATTCCTAGACAGAACTTCTAGTTTCTTTGATATCTGATAAGCTTCCTTGTCCCTTTGTAAATTCTTTCTTTGAAGCAAATTAGGAGGCTCAGGTGAAAGGTTAAACTGCACTGGTGAGGCCTCTGGCATGCTGCTGGGCATGGGCTTTGTTACTGACCGATGAACAGGCCTCCCATTGAGAGTTTCTAGGGCTATAGAGCCCTCACAGATACTGGATGCAGGACTTTTGATTTCTTTAATAAGGGTTCTTCCAGGATTTTCACTTTGACTACTGGTACTAGCTGTTAACAAGAGCCCCCTGTTTTGGTGACAAAAATCTGGGGAAAGACTTTTAATTAGCTTTCTTCTGTTTTCTTTATTGAACAGAGCACTGAAAATAGAGTAGTCGCTCTGGCTTTCACCTGAGGTCACTGAAGATTCTTCTTCCAACATTATTTTTCTAACAATCAATCGAATGATATATTGCTCAGAGTTTGAAGAAGGAAGAAAGGCCAAATCAGTAGATTTTTGTGTTCCTACCAAAATCAGTAATAATTTCTCTGTCAAGAAATATATGCCTTTGGGTCTCTCACTACTCTCTAAATGAATTTGTTGAATGTTTGGCATAGAAGATGGAATGAGAGAATAGATCAAGATGATGTTACAAGTACTAGAAGCCACCGCCACTACCTGTGCTTTAAGATTAAATGCTATTAGATCAGGAACCAGAATGCCTGGGATGTTCACTTTTCTGGTCATGATAACCTCTTTCCCAAAGGTCACAATGACCAAGTGTGAAGAATCCTGTCCAGTTCCGGTCAAGTAATCCTTTTTTCTTAGACAAATAAGAGAACTGCCCTCAGATGCAGACCTATTGAAACGTATGTGAGTTAGATCCTCTGGATCTGAGGAGGAAGGAGAAACTGCTATTTCAGAATTTGCTTCAGTGTTTGCCCCTTTAAATATAGAGGGCACTTCACCAGTAACTGGTAAAGTATACAGATAAGTGTCTTTACCACTAGTCGGAACATCAAAGGTTTCAGATGCATTCAAGCTGCAAATCTTATCTAGTGGAAGCTCAGTGGCTATAGCAACCTGTGAGTCCACAGTGGCTCCGATGGCACGGATGTAACTGTTCACATCAAATGCCGGGGAGGAGGAGCACCTGTGAAGAGCCTTGTGTGCACTGTCCCAAATGTAACAATGCAGGCTGCTGCCTACTGCCACCACCAGCCTCTGGCCATCCTGGGTCCAACATGCACAATGAATGTGGCCTTGAGTATGGATGTCTGCATTCACCCGAGAACTGTCACAGTTAACATTATGGAAAACAGAGACAGCTTGGGCAGTCAATACAGTTAGGATATCACTTTTTGGGTGCCACACACAACCCTGGGGAAGGACAGGAAGTGATTCTCTAATCTCACAGGTCTGAGACATCAGCCAATGGCTGGCCTCTGCAGTGCCAGGACACAGCTGCCACACAGTAACATGCTTCTTGTGTTGGATAGCAAGCAGAGTGGGCATGTCAGCTGTACCAGATGGGGCCCAGGACAGCCCACAGACGTGTTCAAACTGCCCAATGACGTTTGAGTTTCCAAACTTAGCCTCTCCATTGTGAAGCTGTAAATCAGTCAGAAATACTTGATTCCCATCAGTCCAGGCAAGGCCATGAATTGGGTGTATTGCTTGATATAACGCATTCAGTCCAGTCCTGAAAAGTGTTCCTCTTCCCAACTCCATCCTTTCTGATAAAGGTTATCTGAAATAATTAAGAATAAGTTACATTATGAGAAAATAAGCAGACAAATCCAGAATGTAGGACATTTTAAATGACATTTACAAGACAATGGGTATTTCATAGGTCAATATTATGGGGGGATAAAAGGATAGGAGAAATGTTATTAAAGATTAAGAGAGACTACTGAGCCATACGAGCATATGCAGCACATACACTACGATTGAATCTTGAATTAGGGAAATAAAATTTTCTACACAGGGCGGATCAAAAAGGTAAATTAACATAAGAAATGAAATGTGCAAAGACCCAAAGTTAGAAAAGCAAAAGGAAAGAACATGATCAGCATTTCTCAAGCTGAAAACACTCAAGAAAAAATTCAAGCCTTGAGTTCCAATACTGAAGGATTCTATGGGCAAAATATTTAATGATGTAGGAAGCATCAAAAGAAGATGAAAAGAATACACAAGAGTTACTGTACCAAAAAGGATTGGTCGACATTAAACCATTTCAGGAGGCAGCATGTGATCAAGAACCAATGGTATTGAAGGAATAAATCCAAGCTGCACTGAAGGCAGTGGAGAAAAACAAGTCTACAGGAATTGATGGAATACCAACTGAGATGTTTCCAGAAATGGATGCAATGCTGGAAGTCCTCACCTGTCTATGCCAGGAAATTTGGAAGATAGCTACCTGGCCAATTAACTGGAAGAGATTGATATTCGGGCTCATTGCAATAGAATGTGGAAATTATTCAACAATATCATTAATATCACACACAAGTAAAATTTTGCTGAAGATAATTCAAAAACAGTTGCAACAGTATGATAGGGAACTTCCAGAAATTCAAAGTGCATTCAGAAGAGCACGTGGAATTAAGGATATCATTGCTGATGTGAGATTGATCTTGACTGAAAGGAAAGAACATCACAAAGACGTTTACCTGTATTTTATTGACTATGCAAAGGCATTCAAATGTGTGAATCATAATACATTATGGATAATATCGCAAAGAATGGGAATTAGAGAACATTTACTTGTGCTCATGAGGAAACTGTACATAGACCAAGAGGTTGTTGTTTGAACAGAACAAGGGGATACTGCATGGTTTAAAATCTGGGTGTGTGTCCTTTCATCATATTTATCCAATCTGTACGCTGAGCAAATAATCCAAGAAGATGGACTATATGAAAAAGAATGAGGCATCAAGACTGGAGGAAGACTCATCAACAACCTGTGACATGCAGGTGACACAACCTTGCTTGCTGAAAGTAAAGAAGAATTGAAGGACTTACTGACAAAGATCAAAGTCTTCAGTATGGATTTCACCTCAACATAAAGAAAACAAAAATCCTTACAACTGGACCAATAAGCAACATCACAAAAAATGGAGAAAAGACTGAAGTTGCCAGGAATTTCATCTTACTTGGATTCACAACACCTGTGGAAGCAGCAGTCAAGAAATCAGATGTCTTATTGTACTGGGATAATCTGCTGCACAAGACCTCTTTAAACTGTCAAGAAGCAAAGATGTCACTTTGAAGACTAAGGTGCATCTAACCCAAGCCATGGTATTTTCAGTCACCTCATATGCATGTGAAATCTGGACAATTAGTAAGGAAAGAAGGCTGATCTCTTTGAATTGTGGTGTTGCCAAAGAATACTGAAAATACAATGACTGCTGAAGAATGAACAAATCTGTCCAGGAAGAAGTACAGCTGGAATGCTCCTTGGAAGCAAGAATGGCCAGACTTTGTTTCACCTATTTTGGTCATGTTGTCAGAAGGGACCAGTCCCTGGAGCAGGATAGCATGCTTGGCAAAGCAGAGGGCCAGAGAAAAAGAGAAAGATCCTTGACGAGATGGAGTGACACAGTGGCTACGTCAACGTGCTCAAGCACAGCAAGGATTATGAGGCTGGTGCAGGACTGGACAGTGTTTTGTTCTGTTGTACATAGGGTCACTATGAATTGAAGCTGGCTTGACAGCACCTAACAAAAACAACAAAACCTGTAAAAGTCAGAACCTGTGTACAGCAGAAACTTGTCAAAGAAGGAAAATACAAACATTTTCAACTAAAAGAAGCAACAGAAAAGTGGTAAGACTGAACCTTGTCAAAGGTGAAAACTTCCAAGACCTGGGAAAACAAGAAGGGAGTCCTGAGGAGCCCTGGCTCTCACAGATTTCACTGCATAGTCTTCCTTCAGATGGTTTACACCCGACCCTTTCTTGCTATTTGCTTTATTTTCCTTATTATTGACACTGAAGTGAAAGTAAAAGTGTAATGGTTGTGTGTCAACTTGACTGGGCCTGGTTTTGAGCGGCTGGGCAGTTGGATGTTGTTATTCTCCATGATGAGACTGGTAATCAACTCCATGGTAGAATCTACTAGAGCAGCTGACTAGCTGCCTTACTGATGTGGTACATTTCCAGTATATAAGAAGACAGCCTTGAGAAAGGTTTCTGAGCTTTTGGCATGCTTGGACCCTGAGTTTGGCCAAGTCTTCATCTCAGTGGCCTGCTACATTGTCTGCTGATCTTGGGACTGTTAATGAACTTGAATTAGTGGCCTGCCATGTTATTTGATAATCGTGGGGCTGTGCCATTTTACTTGTCAACCTTGGGTTTGTCAGCCTCAGCAGGCAGCAGCTGCCTGAGTGAAGAGACACCTCCAGCTCCAGGGGGCTGGGAGCAAGAGGCAGAGCTGGAGCCCAAGGTTGAAAGGCTTTCACCTAGCCCCTAGAGCTGGTACTTTGAACTTGGACTTCTAGCCTCCTAAACTGTAAGAATAAGTCCCTGTTTGTTCAAACCACCTATCGGTGGTATTTTCTGTGGTACTAGAAGACCAAAACAAAAGGTAACACGTAAATTTCTATTTGTCACCAATTTAAAATATGGTAGAACCTTAATAATTTCAGTCATTTTAATGGTAGAATTTTGTAGCTAGCCTTTCTATGAAAACAAAAGATAATGTAAAAACAAAGGAAATCAGTATTACATTGCTATTGAATATTTAAAAGCTGACCATATTCTATGAGCATAACCTAGATATTATCTGGATTTGCTGGTCAAATTAGAAGAAACCAAGGGAATAAACATGCCTACTATGGAGCTCTGGTAGCATAGTGCCTAAGGCACTTGACTGCTAACCGAAGGCTGGTGGTTCAAACCCACCAGCCACTCCT